GGCACCCTATGCTGTCACTTTCCTTCACTAATTAAAAGTATCTTTTGAAAATATAAATTTGACCTCCTAAACCTGACTCGATCTAGCAACCAAGATGAACAGTGAAGCATAAACAGCAAACAAGAAAATTAAATGAAAGAAAAGGTGTGGGCAGGGGGAGGGAAAAAGAGACCAGTATAGCCTTCTTTTCCAGGGAATCCAGGATCGGCCTATTTCTTGTTTAAATCTCTTACATAAGGCCTTTCACCAATTTGTAGAATAGAAGAAAAAATAAGCACATTAATAAGAAAAAAATTTTAGCTTCAATTAAGTTGGGAATAGCAAACATGCAAATAATAGTCGCTAGTAATAATGTGGAGCCACAGTATGTGGAGATGATGGTGCCATTGTATTCATACGGGTGCTGGAGGAAAATGACGAAGACTTTGTCCCATCTCATATCTCTTAACAAATCGAATATGTGACATATCCATGTGTTGTCACCTAATTTCGAAGTTTTCTCTACGTTCTCTGCCATGCTTTCAATCGTTCCAGGTTCAGTGTACTCGTTCAAAGCTTAGAATTTATGTACCTAGCTAAAATTCCAGTCTTAGATTAGTGGCCCAAGCCCAAAACGTTTCAAATTAATGGTTTTTGTTGGACCCACAATTGTCTACGAACTACCCTTTTTGGCATGTCTCCTGTTGGTCCATTGAATCTGAAACTATAATAGACGTGTGTGCAAATGAACTTTTCAAAAACAAAAGTGTAATTGAAAAGCAATGCACTCCTCGAGCAAATGCGTGGAAAAAGGAGAATAACAATATTTGTAATCATACACTTGGTTTTTGCAAATTTCCTTTCTCATTCTTATTTTTTCGTTTAGGCTTTATTTGCTGCGCATTTTCATGTGTTTTAATTAGAGACTAAATTAAATTATTTATTAGACCCCCATTCCCCACCCTTGTTGACCAGTGATTGTAGTTACATGTGATTTCAGGACGTCCCACGTGCCCACCATTAATTAAATTAATTATTAATTAAGTATTAACCTTTGCAGTTAATTAAATCATGGTGGCTAGAAGAGAGCTTGTGACACATGTAAGTTTGGGTTCAAGTTTAAGCAACTTCATCATCCACCCTAACTATTAAAAAAAAAAAAATTCATAGGTCCTCGGCCAATAGGATAAAAGTTTTACCAGTTTCATGCAATGTTAGGGGCGAAATATTGAAGTTTTCTGTTATGTTAATGGCTATGGCAGGAATATAGTTGGTAACTATGGACTATAATCAACAAAAGGAAACAGTATGGGGTGTATGTAACAAATACGATGTATTATCAACCATGAGGAGCAAAAGGAAAGAACTCAGAAGACAACATTGAGATGGAAGATGATCGGGCTTCTCTTCCTCCAACAAGCCTTGTTTAGTTCTAATGAAGGCTCGCTCTCTAAGCTGTAAGGCATCGACAAAAGGTATTCACCCGATCCTAGCTATTCCTTCGAAAAGATAAGTAATTAACTATATGTCGGCTCATTCAATTTCACATGGAAATTGCTTTTGCTTGATTAATTATGTCGTATTGTTAGGTACTGAAATTGAGCTTTGCCATGACTTTTTTTTTCTTGAATATAAAAATCATAATCATGCTTGTGTTTTGCAATTTGCTGTGTTAGTTGACGGCAAAATCAATAGGGAGAGCACAAGAAAATCAAAAAGTGTAAGTTATTGACTTTCTCAGCCTAATTTTCTATCTAAGATTAATTAAGGTTTAAATATAAAAAAAGTCCCTAAACTAAAATTAAATAATAATAAAAAATTTTATTATTTTATTACAATCAATTAAACCCTCAAACATATATTTTTACCTAATTCAGATTTTATTTTTACCATATCACAACATTGAGATGAAAACATGGAAAAGACTAAAAAAAATCAAATGAATTTTCTTTCTAATAACCTCATTAAACAAACCTAAGTTTCACTATTACAAAGCACAACTCAAGTCATTGCAACTTAAAAGGCATTGCCTTTTGGATCAAAAGGAAAGCATATGTTTATTCCTATCGAAAGTCCGAATTAGGTGCCAGTTTCTCTACGCAACACCCTGGAAGACTTCAAAGTCAAATGATAAACGTAGAAATCAAAACACCAATGTGATTAGCCCTTTGCGGCTTTACCCAAACATAGAAAAGTTGTGGTTAAAATTAATAGTTGAGTAAAACAAAAAACATTGATTATCAATGTCAGATTAACTCAATTGGTAAAATCATTCGGCTAAACATAAATTATTTAATTTTTATTCGAGCTTTATGATTATGTATTTTGATATTATTTGGGTAAAAGAAGCAATTCCCAATATCTATACTTTATCATAAGATCAATTGAAGCAATTTATTTTGAAAATAAAATATATATAAAAAAGAGATTAATGGTTAATTTAGCATTAAGGTTAAAAGTGACTTTTGCTTTAAAAAATTCATAAGAAAGTGTTTTTGTCTAATTTTTTTTATAAAATAAATTTATTGTTTTTATATCTCTAAATTTTTATTATTTTTTGCATTTTTTTAGATATTTTGATTAATTACAACAATGTTAAACATTTAAGAATTTTTTTAATTATATTTTTCTCACTACATTTTTAAACATAATGTTTTTTTAACTGCTTTGGCAAAAAAAAATTTCAACTGTAATAACAATATTAAATTAAGTGTAAACAAGAGTTAATAGGTGATTATTTGAAATTAATGATTACAAATTAAGCTGGCCCAACTAATGTGAAAACCAATATTCAATCCATCATTATTCACTCTAATAATTTATTGATCCATGATTACTAATAGGGAATTATGGATAATAATCTCTTGTATGAAATGAAGTATGAACAAAATAAAATAAAGAACCCAAAAGAGGTAGATGAGATCCCACCACTATAGCTAGTTTACAAGTTTGGCTGCATCTTTGTCCACTTTTTTTATTTTCTCCTCTGCATTCAAATACTTCGTTGGGTAGGCTAAAAGCAAATTCACTTTTTTGCTTATTAAAGACATTCTGGTATTGGAGGTCTAAAAGAAAAGGCCTTTGAAAATTTAAAAAAAAAAAAAAAAACTTCTCTTACTCTTACTTCCCAAGTCCAGAATCAGGAGCTGAAGATGATAAAAGTGTCGACTATGGCGGGGCTGTTAGGAGAATGCACGGTGGCGCTGGCTAGGGTAAGGGCGAGTCTTTTAGCACCAAGGGCAACCCTTCATTTTCGTCGTCTTACCTCTTTTTCTGCCACCCTGTATCAGGACTCTTCTTTCCTTGTTTACTTTTAGTACATCATTTCTATTTTGAAAGAAAAACTCTTTATTTATTTGGGTTCTTATTATTTCTTTAATTTTAGTTTTTTTTTTTATCCATATCCGAACTCTTCTGTGTACATTTGTTGGAGTTCATCAATAATTCATCATCGTCATTCTTTTTTCAATGCTCTGCGAATATGTAATTTTCAGGAAACCATTATGTTTCTCTAGTTAGAGCTTAATTATGTGAGATTATGTATACCAGTATTATAATCCGTACATACATTGCTTGTTTATGGAATGTATGCAGAACTGGGAATGTATGAACAAGAAATGTTCAAAGGGAGAGGGGAATTGCTCTTCTCTCCTGTTGGGTTTAGGTTTATCCCAAATTCTTATCACTCATTATTAGTTTTGGCTTTTTTGAGTCATGAAAGTGGTTGGATAATGCCAAATTGCACAGCACAATGCCCAGCAGAAAATAAAAAATGGAGCTCAAATTGTATTAGAATAGTAATTAAGTACTAACCATTCTCATGTAAATTAGGCTAGGTTTGAAAATTCACAATGCCATGGTCCACATTCTCCTCCCAAGTCCCATTCCAGTTTTTACTTTTACTTTTCTTTTTGATTCACAAAAAAAAAAAAAAAAAAGAATGAAAAGAGAAACCCATATCCATGTTTGTTTCATCATTGAAGTTTTGGACATTTTAGGCGTTTGGTCGTTGCCTAATTCTAAATGATGATAATGCGTAGGAACCGCGGGCTAGCTCTGCCTGATAAACAGAGACTAATGCTTTTGGTATGATTTTGTCAAAGAGAAAGGCAATGAAAATGTTGGAGTTTTGAGGTGTTTACGCCAATGTTACCATAGCTATTACCATTAGCAATACAATACCGGTAATCTTTAACCAGATGATCATCAAAATACCATTTCAATTGAAGCTCAACTTATCCTTTTCTTAATTTGAAAAGACTTGTTTGAGAACAATATCAAAATGGTCTTTAGCTCGACAACCACTATCCCATTTGTTTCATTTTTCTTCCTTGACGACATTGCTAACCTTCATTTCTCAGTCTACCCCACACAAAATTAGTGGCGCAATTGAGCCTACTATGGAAAACGACAACGTTTTCTACGTATTATCAATTTCAAAAGTGCAAATTATGAATAAATTTATTAAATTAATTATATTGACTTTAGATAAATACTTTTTATTAAATTATAAAAAATATAGAATTTTTATTCCACTAAATATCGAAGAAATTTAAATAAATAAATTTAACGTCTAACTAATGATGTATGGTGGCTACAAATATAGGAAGAAATTTTTTTTAATTAATAGATAATTTATTCATAAAGTGATCACTTCACAAACTTTCAGTTTAAGAAGTTTGGGTGTGAACATGTTTACTGTATTTATTTTTTTCATTTAATTTTTATTAAATTTATATTTTATCTCGATAAAATAATTTATGATTAAAAGTAAAATACAAAAAATTTTAATTTCCGTACAATAAATCAAAATATAATGCTCTGTCAAAGATTTTTTATTTTGATATATGAATAGCTAAGCAATCCAAAATTCATCAGGATATCTAAAAAATCAGTGCTCCTATTACTGAATAGATTAACACATTTTTTTTTTTATACATAATAGATTGCAATTTGAAAATTTTAAAAAATAAAATTTAAAAACTATTAAATATTTTTTGAAAATAATTATATAAATAAATTAAGTTAAAATTTAAATTTAAACTAATACAAAGTTTACTTCTAATGAATTTATAGTAAAAGAAAGTTTGGCTCCAGCACTTCAGAATTTTTTTGAAGCTATCACTCATACGTGACTTCGTAGAGCGTAAAGTAAAAGATGAGGGCATCACAGTAAGAAAAACAAGAAATTAGAAATCAGAAAAGGGTTCAGAAATCATTTTGGAAAACTGTAGGGACTTTTGGGAAATTATTTTCAAAGCATTAGTTGCGAACAAGAAGGACTCGTGGTACACCTAATTCTCAAACTCTCCAAACTAAAATAATTTTATCTATTGCTGTGTTATTAAAAAAAAAAAAAATAGCTCAAAGTGATGGTGCTGATGATGATTTCTACAAATTGGGTTTTTGGTTTCAAGTCTTAGCTTTTCGTCTCCGTTGGTATGATCAATAAAACCGATGATTACTATGATGCTTTTGATTCTATTTACATTTTCTTATCCATATAAAGTTTGATGCGAAAATTGTTCTTTGTCTGAGGACTGAAAAAGCTGTTGCCGGTTCTTGCAGAGGTCGAACTTTTTTATTTTTGTTTTTTCGATTAGGTGCGTGAAGATTTGATTTTTTAGATGAAACACGATGATGGGATTTGGGTCTTATGGTGGAAACGCTCATGGAGGAGGATCTTCAAATTTATCAGCTTTAGCTCCGCCTTTCACCGTCGACCGATCCATCCCAAAACCTACAGCTACCACACTTGTTGATTTGGGTGAACCCTTGAATTGGCTTGATACTTTTAATTCACCCCAACCTGTTCAACTGGCTCAGTTGGATTTGGACCCAATTCCCACTACATATAACCAAAATTCGGATCTTTTTGAACCCAAAACCTACTATCCTTCCTATGTCTCACCACGCCTTCCTGTGCCAACTTTCAATGAGCAGAGCTTGTCCGGCCTGGACCATACGTCTCAACGGGGTGGTGGCTTGTGGGATTGGGAGAAAGGGAAGGCGGCTCAGCATGGCGGGAGTTTTTATTCAAAGGATACGAATGTAGCTCCTTCCGCTATTTACACGGACCGTATCAACCTTGGTAAGTTTTCCCTTTTCTTTTGATCATATATACATGCTGCTTTTAGGTAAAATTGTTCCTGAAATTTGTTTCCTTCTTTGCTTTCCTATGATTTACTATTGTTCCTGTTGTATTTGTTTCTTGTTTCTACATGGTTCTTGTATTTCCATTACTTTCCTTTTTGTCTTGTCTATCCCATGTGCAGAATTTCAGTGATCAAATGCACTTTGTGTCCATGAGAAAATATTTCAATTCAGGTATCCCCCCACCCCCCAACACCCTCCCCTTAAGCTCTTAATGACTGATTATATCTTGTCTGTCACAATTTTTCTGAGATAAGGATTACCTGCATATTTAATAAGCTCGCCTAGACCATTGTCTAAGTGAGACTCTGGAATTATGCCTTCTTATTGTTAACACTCAAACATATTGAACTGCTTGATTTAGGGTTGTCTCGGCTGGCATGACTGGTCAAATTTTCTTTTATTCAAATATTGTCTGACCATATTTTGTTTCCTTTTCGTTGTTTTTATTGATCATGGTCTTTACCTGTACTTGAGAGCTGTATACTGACTCATGCATTTTTTTCCCGGAACCTGGACTCATACATACAAAAATTTGTGATGTCTTTATTCTCCCACCCTGCACTATTACACAAAAATAAGAAAAGTACTAACCACTTTACTGGCTTGCAAATATGATTCATGTTATCATTTTGCTATGATCACAATGATTGTAGGAAAATGCATCTTCACTCTTTGTTTACTCCCAAGTCATATTCTATCCCTGCATACTTTGGTGTTGTTAAATTCAATTTTTGGGAAGAGCTGCATGTGGGAAATGTGGGAGGGGGGGGAACTAGCTGATAATGATAAAGAAAGGTCAGGTGGGATGTAAGGTAAGCCTTTTTTTATTTTTTTGTCTCTGATTGCAGGAGCTCATCCCCCCAAAAGCCTTAAGACATGTGAAGAAACTTCACATAATATTTATTCACTAGGTAGGGAAAATCAAGTTGGGTCTCCTAGTATAGAAAAACTAGATTATAACCCTCTGGTGGGGCTAAATCACTCATTCATGCCTGTGGATTACTTGAAGACATCAGTTGTCAGGTCCAGTTCTGGACTTTCTGAACCAGATTTGCAGGTGCCTCCCTTAAATCTAGTAAATTGCAAGAACAATGAAGTGTCATTCAGCACTCCATATGAGAAACCTGCGAGACAGCATGGTACTACTCCAAGTGATAGTATACTTGCCATGAAGTCTTCACCTGGGATTGTTATTAGACCACCAGCTGTTGGTGCCTGCTCTTCAGCATCCAATACTGTTTCAGTCAAAAACGTTAATACTGGCATCAATGGAACTGATACAAATTTGACCGGCAAAAATCCCTCTTATTCGAAGGAACCTAATTATTTGTTAAACTTTGGTAGCAAAAATGAGTTTGACCCAAGTCAACTCAGCATTCTTCTTGATGGACGTTGTTATTTGTCTGGGGAATCATCAGCAACAAAGACTGAAAAGCTGTCAACATCAAATATGGCCTCTAAGGATGCTTCTGATCATTTGTTCAGAGCAAAATCTGGAGTTACTTTTTCTCGAATGAGTCCAAATAATTTCAGTCTGGCATTTGATAATAATGAATCAGTCATTGTTTTGGGGAATTCTTTAGAGAGGTTAGATCATTACAACCCTCCTGTTGACTCACCTTGCTGGAAAGGAGCTCCAGCTTCTTATAATTCCCCATTTGGATCTTCTGAGCCTGTGTCTGTGCAGCTTGTAAAGAAACATGAAACATGTGATGGTTCAAATGGTCAAGCACTTAAATTTATCCCCCTGAATACTGCTAATGCGGAAGATGGTTCAGTCTCTTCTCTGAAATTGTCTTCAGTCTCTATCCCATCATCTGGAGAATATCGACCTGATGATGCTGGAAAAGCAGGATACTATCACATAAAAACAAGTTCTGCATGTGAGATCAAATTCTCTGATGATGCAAGTGAACTAAAGAAAGATTATGTCATGTTTAAGAAGTCAGTGGATGAGGTTGAGAAGGCATCTTTCACCATTCAACAAGGTCTTGCTGAAAGTAGATTGGCTTCTAAAAATTTGTGCACATCTGAGACGGGTGTTGCAGATCTTGAGAGGAAGATAAATGATATCTCAAGTGGTGGTTCATCTCATATGTCATGCCATGCTGTGAAAAACCTCTCGTGCTCACCTTCCTCTGTAGAAAATGTTTGTACTAGGCATTCTAAATTCTTAGGCAAAGAACCCGTTTCAAATAGCAGCACCAGTGTTCTAGTAGATACCATGCATAACCTGTCAGAATTACTTCTGTATCACTGCTCCAATGAGACATGTGAATTAAAGGAACAAGATATCAAATCCCTTGAAAAAGTAATCAACAATCTTGATACATGCATGTCAAAAAATATTGGACAAGAATCATTTTTTAGTGAGCTTCATGAGGTATGCTTCCCTTTTTATTTTCTTTGTATTGTCTAATTGGTTTGTAATTAAATGTAGGAAATTCGAAATGTTAAGTTGTGTTTCTCCTTGCTATTATGCTTATTCCTTTGGAAGTCTTTCATGGAAATGCATTTTTGGTTAATCACTGAGCTGAAAATATTCTTCTCAGGGCATAAGCATGGGGAGGCCCCAGGTGGCAGCTATTGATGTTCTGAGTCAGTATGTACAAGAGAAAGGGAAGCATTCTGGTAAGAAAGATGAGAAATGTTCTGATTTCGTTTCTGTCAAGAGTGGCCCAGACATAAAAGTGAAAAATGATAAGATGACCCAGGTATTTGCTTATTTGATTCTGTATCTCTACTGTGATAGATAATGTTTCATTTCATCATTTGTCTTTCTATGGTAGGAAGGAAGAGCTGAAACTTGAAAGCACACTTATATTCTATCTCTCTTGGTTGGCGATTTGCAGGCTATAAAGAAGATTCTTATTGAGAATTTTCATGAAGGGGAAGAGGCACAACCAGAAGTTCTCTTGTATAAGAATCTATGGCTTGAGGCAGAAGCTGCTTTATGTTCCATCAGTTACATGGCTCGCTTTAATAACATGAAGATAGAAATAGAAAAATGCAAATTGGACTGTGAAAAAGGTTAAAAATTTTCTATATACTTGTTGGATCACGACTTGTTCATAACAAAAGCTTTAGAATTTTCCGTTAGGTATCCTTGACTCTTTCATTTTGGCCATCTGATATACAGTTTATACCTGCTGTTTTGCTTTAGATTTGTCTGAAGATGCACCAGATGAGGAAAAAATATCGAGTTCTAAATTTTTTGCTGAAGTAAACACTGATAAAAAATTAACAGCAGTGGCTGAGACTGGACCTACCCCTGCTGTTTCTAACCAAAATTCTCCTATCGAAAGCTCCAGCTACCATGCTGATGATGTAACAGCCAGATTTCATGTACTAAAACAGCGGCTTAACAATTCAAATTCTGTTTGTAAAGATGTGGATGAACTCTCGAGCTCCAAGCATTCTTTGGATTTGGATGAAGTTGACAAATTGGCAGCTGAAGTCAAGGATATTTCAACCCGGTGCCTGTCATCCCAAGACTCCGCTGTACCAGGAACGGCCTGCCGTACAGATGAAATTGAAGCCTTTGTTATGGCTAGGTCCCATATTCTGAAAAGCCATGGCATTGACAATTTGGATTCTGATGAGATAGGAAGGAAACTACTGCCGGAAGTTGTTGATCTTGGATTTGCAGGAAAAAGAAAGCAAATAGCCATTGATAAAGACACAGCTGAGGATGTGATTTCGGGTGCTAATCTGGAATTAGTTTCACAGCACCAAGTGGCCAACCATGCAGGAGAACAGTTAGTTGTGAAGGATTTTCATCCATGTGTCCAGCACGATTGCATGATACAATCTCCTCACTACGCTTTCAAATAAACTCTCTGCAGGTTGGTATGACAGCTGTTCTTCAGACTGGGAACATGTGTTGAAGGAGGAGCTTTCAGGACAGAACAGTTGAATCTAAATATGGTCCAGGCTGTCCCTTTGGGAACATCCAATAAAATTGGAATGATACAGAGAAAATTAGCATGGCTCTTGTATAAGGATGACATGCACGAATCGAGAAATGGTCCAAAAAATTATGGTGAATGATATCTTGTTTCCTCTTAAACATTCGTGTAAAGTTTGTGGAATACCAACCGTGAGTTGCTCAGAACATGACTGCTCTCCAACCTTGTAAAAAAACTGCTAAAAACTTATTTTGAATAAACCTTTTATGAATCTTGCTTTTCTTGTGCGATTTGGGTAACCCTCTCCTGGAAGCTTTTCAATTCTTCTTGGTTTCGTGTGTGCTAGCTAGCAAATGTATTCTTGTGTAAAGCGGTCTCTGGCTGTTCATCATGGTATTGGTCTATTGAAAGGCAGTAATTACAGGATGCTACTGTACATTTAGATATCATCAGCTGCTGTGCATGCATGGTGGAGTGTGAATCAAGGATGATTCTATGACATCATTCTGTTAAAACCAAAACAAAACTCATCATGCATAATTCTTGGTGGCGCATTAAACTATATGAAGATACGCAAATTTGTTACAACACACTAGCTTTTCTTACATTTGTTTGAAGTTGATCCAGCTTCCAGAGCAAAACATGTGACAAGCAGGGAAAAAATAAAATAAAGATGGGTTCTTTCTATATTTTAATATAATTGAGGTTGCGCACCCTATGGCTTACTGCTTTCCCTGCCTTCAGACTGAAAAACGGTTTCAATATTAAGTTCTTCTCACAGTACAGCATATAAATATATGTGCACTGTGCATGGTATACTTTATCAGCTTTCAGATTCCGAAAATCCTATGTTTCTGCAGCAGATTCGGAAAGTACCATATTTCTGCATCGATCATTCGTTCAATAAAAAACTACCATTTTAAGTTAATAAAAAGATAGAGGAAAAATTAAAAACTGTTAAAATGAATTATCTTATATTTAATAAATTTTTAATTTTTTGTAATTTTATATCCCGTCTCTTCACTTATAATCAATTGATTTTAAATCAGATACTTAACAAAAAAAAAACTTTATTTGATCATTCCTTACGTATGCATGTCCAAAGCTATATGGAAGATAAATAACAACAGACTATCTACTCCAGTTGTCGTTTCTCCAAATAATTTTTCTCAGTAGTGCCAACAATGTTCGGCCCCCCAAGTGACAAGGACATTCCAGAGCATTGCCTCCTCATATGGCACTACTTTAACACTCATGTTAAGCAACTAATCAAGATTATTTAACCATAAAAAAGATAAATAATTTTTCTTCAACTATAAGTAGCTGTGACGATGTTGGGAGCATTGAATCACAAGAATCTGTTGAGATGATTGAGATGAGTCCAGGGAAGCTATCTCCAGTCCTTGCAATTTTGGCTGTGGTTTTGTTTCGTCAGAGTGTTCATTCTCAGCTTCAAATAGGATTTTACAAATATAAATGCAGCTTAGTCGAATTCATTGTCAAAGAAGAGGTGACAAAAGCGTTGATTAGAGATAGAGGACTAGCTGCGGGCCTCTTGAGAATGCATTTTCATGATTGCTTTGTTAGGGTGAGTGCGATGAGTCCCTTCTTGTTTGGCTTCTGATTTAATTGACTTAACTATATGCAATTGCAAAGCTTCCTTAGTGAAAATACTTCCTTCAATAATCAAATAGCCAATGTCATCATCCTGGACAATTTACATAGTTACATATTGAGAGTATAGCCATTAAATCTTTCTGTACAAAATTAGACTAATTCACTTGTATCGGTCTTATATATAGGGTTGTGATGCGTCCATACTCCTTGATTCCACTCCCTCCAGCACAGCAGAGAAAGACTCCTTTGCCAATAATCCGAGTTTACGAGGGTATGAAGTCATAGACAATGCAAAGGCTAGACTGGAAGCTGTTTGTAAAGGAGTAGTTTCCTGCGCTGATATAGTTGCATTTGCAGCAAGGGACAGCATAGAGATAGTAAGCACGCAAACTTTTACTTAGGTTTGATGATTTCTAGAAAATTGGAACTATTTAAGCAACATTGCTAAAATTGGTGACACTTTTTCCTTTTCTGGTAAAATGTTGGTATAGACTGGAGGACCTGTCTATAATGTCCCTGCAGGAAGAAGAGATGGTAGAACTTCACTAGCCTCTGAGATAACAGGAAACCTACCTCCCCCAACATTTATTGTCAACCAACTGACTCAGTTGTTTGCAAATAAGGGCTTCACACAAGAGGAAATGGTTACACTCTCGGGTAACAGATATCATGAAACTTCGTATTGGAAATGGTTAAAACTAAATATTGAACACTTCTGAGTCAAATAATTCTATGAACAACAGGAGGGCACACCATAGGGCGATCTCACTGCACATCATTTAGTAACAGATTATACAATTTCAGTGGGACATTGATGCAGGATCCAAGTTTAGATCCCAGATATACAGCTATGTTGAAGCAGAAATGCCCTCAGGGTGGCACGAATCCTAACGTGGTGGTGCCGATGACTTCTACTCCAAACATCACCGATGCAGGATACTACGTTGATATTCTAGCAAACAGGGGCCTGTTTACGTCAGACCACACTCTGCTGACAAGCCCGGCTACAGCATATCAAGTGGCTCAGAATGCAAGGAATCCAATGCAGTGGAGGGCCAAATTTGCAGCAGCAATGGTGAAGATGGGTCAGCTTGAGGTCTTGACAGGAACCGCAGGAGAGATTCGAGCCAACTGTAGGGTGACCAACAGCTAGAGATGGGATTGGGAATCAAAAGTGTGATGGAGTAATTACAGTAAACTCCTTTGAAGCTCGATGTGACATAGTTTTCTTTGTTAGGTTGTCTGTATTTGCAATAGAAAATAGAAATGGGTTTGATTGTGAAACTTTATTGGAGCTCGAAACCACCAATAATGGCAATTAGTCGAAAGAATGTCCAATGGTAAAATAGATTATTGATAGAAAATGACAGCCGTATTATCATTTACAGCTAATACAAGGAATCTGGCCCCGCTAATTTTGAATATGCACTGAGACTCGGTCACATTTTGAATGCTAGTATTGTAGAAACAGATCTCAGCATTAAAAACACCAAAAAAAAAAAAAGTAAAAGCAAATATCATGAAACTTCGTATTGGAAATAGTTAAACTAAATATTGAAAAACTTCTGAATCAAATAATTCTATGAACAACAGGAGGATACACCACAGGACGATCTCACTGCGCATCATTTAGTGACAGATTATACAATTTCAGTGGGACATTGATGCAGGATCCAAGTTTAGATCCCAGATATGCAGCTATGTTGAAGCAGAAATGCCCTCAGGGTAGCACGAATCCTAACCTGGTGGTTGCCAATGACTTCGATTCCAAGCATCACCGATGCAGGATATTACGTTGATATTCTAGCAAACAGGGGCCTAATTGTACTTTAATAGTTTGATTTTGGTATGCGGTTTTCCTAAGATTTGTATCAATTAGTACTAAAAGTCATATACCATATCTTTAAGTTTCAATCATATGGGAGGGTGATGATACAGTAACAGGAATAACAGTGTTGGCCTGAAACTAGATTAAGCTAGCAAAAAGCTAGTCCGCGTGTGCATTAGGACTGTGGAATATGGATGATTTCTATGTTGAGATTTTTTTGTGAAATTTGTTAAAATGATATTATTTTGCAGTTATTATTAACTTTTTAATGATTTTATATTTTTATTTATTGTCAATTAATTTGAAATTAAATACGTAATAAAACTTATGAATTTTTTAAAACTCTTTTAAGTAGCAAATTTTTGGAATGTAATTCTCCTAAAATTCGGATAAAAATATTATGGGTAAAACTTGTCTAAATATCACAAGAAAACATGAATAAAATTTAGTTAAATATTGAACTATATGACGAAATCTTTCCAGCAATTTGAAGTAGATCAAATTGTTTTTATTACCAAATATTTTTTTGTGCAATAATATGAGTTATAAAATTGGCGCACGACATGGGTTGATGACATGGGCTGATTACTGATATCCTAAGCCCTCACCACGAGGAACAACAAAAAAGACACGTAACAGCAGTCATGTCTCTCTCAGGACTTTCCGGTTTCACTCCACATTTAAAGCGGAAAAGATGAGTGCTTGTCCGATTTATTAAAAAAAAAAAAAGAAAGAAAGAAATGGCCAAAAAGATGATGTAAAATTCCAATGAAGAATGGGGGAAGTGGGAAAGCCTCAACCCTGAAATATTGTCTCTCATACTTGTAAGAATCCCAGCTGACTCGAGGGTGGCAACCGCCTCTTTGGTCTGCAAGTCCTGGATGGCCTGTGTCTTGGGTCCCTTTTGTTGGGCCGACACTGACATCCAAGAGTGCTGCCGCAGCCGCTACCTCCCAGTCGAATACGTCAATTCTGCTGTCAGGAAGCTCGTCCGTCGCAGTAAGGGCACTTTCCGCCTCCTCTCTGCCTTCCGCCTTGGTGACACTGGCTTCGCTTTTGCGGCTAACTGGTACTGGTTCTCTTTTCATTACTCTTCTATAATCTTCATAACATTTTCTTTAAACTTTTCTTTTCTTGGTGAATAAAAAAAGTTCATTTTTTCTCTACATCTCTTTTTCCTTTAAAAAAAAAAAAAAAACAGGGTAACTAAAACAGGGTATTGTAGAACGTGAGGGTGGAGGTTAAAGTTAAACATACGCTTTTAAACTTAATGAATGATTAACTAGTGAAAATGGGGATGATTATCGTTAGTATCACACTTTGAAATTTTTGGGTTAGCTTTAAATATACAAACATATTTGATATGCTTATCCCAAAACACATTTGATAGACCGTGGCCGGAATTGGTAAAATTTAGAAGTGAGATGCAATTACTTCTCTTTTCTTCAGTGGAAGATATCTTAAAGTGTTGGAGATTCCCACGAGTGAAGTAAATGACAAGATAGTTGAAAAGTTTGCAGAATCACTTGCAAATTTGACTGTCTTGGATATCAGCTACTGTTTGAAGATTACTCACGTAGGCATTGAAGCAGTGGGGAAGAACTGCAAATCCTTGATTCAGTTGAAGAGAAATATGCCCCCACCAGAATTGGAGAGATTTTCAAGCATATTAAAGCTCGATGATCGTGAGGCAATGGTCGTAGCTGATACAATGCCATTGCTCCAGGATCTTCAGCTTGGTTTTGGCTGTTTTGGTGACTTTGGTCTTTATGCCATTCTTGCCGAGAATAAGTGTCACAGTTCTAAGGAAGAGACATGAATTTCACATCGGTTGTGTTCTAGAGTTAGTCATGGGATATAAGAGTTCATACCACTTTCAATTTGTAAAACATTTTTTGTGGGACAAAACCGTAACGGAATGGGAGAGAATGTCACGTTCCTAAAGAATAACTATGAATCTCACATCAACTGTGTATTAAAGTTCGTCATTGTGGGACAATACCTCACAAATTAGTGTGAACCGTTATAGTTAGACTGATCTGAATCATGGAAGAGACCATCCCCATGTCTTGGCGCCATGCGAGCCTGAAGTTTGAATTCGGCCCGTGACATAAGGCCCTCACCCACCCTGACATCCAAAGATGTTGGAAATTGAAACTGGAAGGCGAGTTGGAGGACAGGTGCTAGCAACTGTTGGCTTTTAAGAGCCCCTGGATTTATGACATGATTACTGATGGCGATGAACAAGACGATGATAAGGAATTAATATCCTTCCTCGGATAGAATAGAAGATCTTGTTGCTTGCACAGAGTCATAGCTATATTGATGAGTTTCCTCTTAGCCAGAAAACTTGATTCACTAGACATTATAGTGCAGGTAATCTTTTGCTTGTTATGTTGAGATACTCCGAATGTTAATAGACTTGACACCCTAAAAGAAATCAAATTTGTCCAAGGAAAGTGGCTGAGAAGAATTCTATGGACCTCGTTTCTATAAACATGATGATTTCGGAATCTTCTTTTATTTTGTTTGCTCTGGTTTTATGGTGATTTCTTCATGTATTTGCACATACTGTGCTGAGTTAACTGCTTTACTAGAAGTGTATTTCGATGCTGGGTCTTAAATCACTTACATGCAACAAGGATGAATCTCAGATTTATTATCTTGCCTGTTCTGGCAACAAAACATAGACCTAATGCACTTATCATTTAAGCAATAAAATAAGTAACAAAAAGTAATAAACATTGGCTCGATTTTGTACAGTCCTTTCGTGTGATAATGTTTGATTCGGGAGTTCAATAATCAGCCTTCTCAATGAACACTCCTAACTGAACTAATCACAATCTAATGACAAAACTCATCATTGGCAGCTTCCGCTGATGCCTGAGGAGAATTCAGTTCACCAACAAAAGAAATGCCATGTGACACCCAGTATACGAGGATATTAACATTTCTCTGAAAAAACAGACTTGACATTTTCATTTCCTTTGATTTTGATATCCTTTTTTGCCCACATTTCCGTTTTCCCACAAACTTGCAGCAGAAGCATTGGGATCAAAGTACTCGATCTCTAATGCCCTCAACATCAAATCATACATGAATTCAGTTGCACCACGATCTCAATTGCAAAAAACCAGTTTAATCAAGTTGCAAAAATTCCTTATAGAAAAGGGTAAGGGAGCGATCAGTCACAGAGATGGTGATCATGAGTTGTGAGAAAATTATCTAAAATTTGATAAAAATGAAAGGCTAATCTAGCCACCCATTAGATGGTAAGTTAGCTCAACTACAACAACTAAAATGTTGAACTAGTTCCAACAACTCATTGACAGCCTGCAAGTGCAAACCAATAAGGCAACAGAGGCCACCTAAGTGGTAAGCTCCATAATAGCACTAACAATGTCCCCATTGTGAGTCTTGAGAGCCTTGACAGCCTTGCTCCTCGATACCCCAGCCTGTGTCATGACCAAATCAATGTCCCTAGGCTCTACCCCAGTCTCATCAATTTCTTCCTCTTCCTCATCAGCCGGTGCTCCAGCAGCTGCAGCAGAGGTGTCTGATTTTGCCATCACAGATCCCATGTCTGGCATCCTGAACTGCTGGGCAGCTTGTGTCTGTAGCTGAGAGCTCAAATCCTCTATCTTAGCCTCACCAAAAATGACATAGGTCTCAGAATTTGGGCTCTTGAAGACGTCAGGTTTTGAGATGAAAAATAGTATCTGAATCCAAGAGAAACTAAGTTATATTACTATTTATCAGGTAGCTAAACTCCATAGAAAGAATATCCGAGAATTCATACATTCTTGGTTCTCTTTATGGCCACCCTGCTTACACCAGTAACAGGTTTCATGCCCAGCTTTAGCATCGCCTTCCGACTCTTCTTCTCACTTCTGCTTTGCTTTGAACTTCCATTAGCACCTGCAACCAATATTCCAAGCAAACTATAAGGGCCGTATAGAAATTTCAACACAATTAACTTCGGATAAGACAATTAGCCAAAAAGGATTGAAACAACACAAACTACATATGGCGTGATAGCCAACGAAATAGCACCAGCAAGCAGAGAAATGCTGCCATACATAGCAACTAAATAAATAAGATATCTACAAAAGGTGCGTTGCAAGTAATTGCACTCTAACAAGAGATCTCAGCTACTAAAAGTTGACAAAGTTGCATGAACCAGAAGACTCTGGGTAGCAAGCTATGCAGGAGGTCCTAAAAGGAAACCCGATTCTAGAGGATGTGGTAATTGAGAACCAGTAAGCAAAAATTAACAGATCAAAAGATAGACTTTTAACATGCAATTCTTGAAGCCTTTCAGACAATTTTAAATAAGTTCATTTCACACTTGAAGATAAGTAAACATTCAAACTGAAAATTTAAGCACGCATACAGACCAAATTCCAAAAATGATAGAGAAAAATTTCCACTGATTCATGAAGTATCACTCAAATCACTATAACAGTATTAATACTGAAATGAAAACAAAGATTTGAAGCCCAAGCAAGTATCAGCTATACAGTCCAGCAAAGAAAAGTTAAATAAAAAAAAAAAAGGAAATGAATCAAGTAAAAACTCAGAGGGGAAAATAAAAATAAAAGAGAGAAACCTTGGGCACCATCTTCCTTATCATCATCATCGTCATCGTCATCCTCGTCATCGTCATCTTCTTTCTCATCTTCCTTGACGTCCTCAACCACAGCCTCCTCCTCGCTCTGCAAATGATACCATATTAACATATATTTAAAAAAGAAAAAGAAAGGATAAAATAAGTGAAATGATGGGGGAAACCTGGGGCTGCTTCTTGGGTTCCTCAGTAGAAGGAACCTGCTCAGTCTCAGGCTGGGCGGCTTCAACCACAAGAGCTGGCGACATGCTTATTTTGGTTAAATAGGGTTTACCCGACCAGGGAAAAAAAACAACAAAATGGATTATCGGAAAGATTCAGGAATCCGGAGCGTCTATACTCCAGCGGCTTTAACCCTCCAGTGGGTTTTTGACGTTTTGTTTTATGGTGATAATAAGGTTTCTCCTTAATTGAGCTGCCTTTATTTAAGGCCCGTTTCGAGGATCCCTGCTGCCCTCTAGTTCTCCACATATGAAACCCGAAGCCCCACCCAAACATAACATACGCTAACCGACCGTAGATATTTTATTGATTATATTGGGATTGTTTAATTTGAAATCGAATTATTTAAAATAAAAATATTATATTATATTATTTTTAATTAAATCAATTTTATTAATTTAAAAATTAATAGACCAAATAAATTATTTTTATTTTTTTATTAATTGAATAATAAAAGTTAAACTCTTAATTTTTATATTTTAAAAAAAAATAAAATTATTTAATAAAATATTTAAAAATCAAAATATTAAATTAAAAATACTAACAACTTATAAAATAAAATGATCCACACATGTTTTTAGTTTTACATTTAGATTTTGTAACATATTATTTAAGTTTTAGTTAATTTGATTTTTGAATCAAATTAATTAAAAATTATTTTTATCGTAAATCAAAATTAATTTGATAATTAATTGATTAATTAAATTAAATTAATTCTATCAATTAATTCAATTGAAATCCAATTTTAAACATTAATAGACAGTAGCAATTTAAACTATTTCGCTTTTTAGAATCAATGGCATAAATAAACTATGAGAGAGTTACATAATACTAGCATTTATATTTTTTGAAATTTACCAGCATTTATATTAGTATTAATAAATAAATAACTATTATTGTAAAAAAAACAAAAATCAATGATGATTTTTTTTCTTCTACTATAGTCTATATTGGATTTTTTATTTTTTTCTTTCTTTTGATAAAAAGGAGTTCAAATCTTGAACATCGAATTTGAAAGACAATCATCAGCTACCCCAAATATAACCTCGGGAAAAAGGAAACGCCATGGTTTTAGGGTCTAATCATTTGGGATGTTTCCTTTTAATCAAAAAATTAATGTTGTATTCTGTGCGTTAAATTAATTTTTAATATTTTTTTAATTAATATTTGATTGAATTAAAAATTAAAATAATGTAATATAAAGATCGTATTGTTAAGTGCACAAATCTTTGTTAAAATAATTGACAAAAAAAATTATTATAAAACTAAATAAAAAATATTAGGTGTGTATTTAAAATTACAAAATAAAAAAAAATTTGTTAAACAACAACCGTAACGAAACACTTAATTTGTAGTTACAATTAATTATTTAAAAAATTTATTTATAGTCAAGATAAATAATTATTTTAAAAGTATCATGTATTATCATAACAAATAAACAATAATAGTCAATATTCAACTGATTATTCATAATAATTTTTTTTTATTTTTTTTAGAATAATTTGTTTATGATGTTGTAACGTATGATATATGATTTATTTTCTTCAAGATTTAATAGAGTGATAAAAGAATATTTACCTAACAATGCTTATAGAAATAGCTTGGAATATATTATAAAAATAATATGATGAAAAATTGTTAATAGAAATTTTAAATATATATTTTATTATATTCTATAGAAATAATATATACATAATTATTTACCCAAATGAGATAACTATTGACATTTGCACTTAGTCATCAAGTTATGAAAAATAAAACTGTCAAAAATAATTATAAATTCTCTTAGAAATAACAGAAGTTTTCAAATATAAAAAAAATTAAACTCAAAATTCAAACGCCCGCACTCACAGGAGTTAAAATGAAACAATCCAAAGGTAAAAAAAATTCCAAAAAAACAGCCTACCATGAAAGACAACTGTCAAGCTATTAATACCTTCGTTTTATCTAGAGTTATAAGATTTGGCTTAATGACATATCCTACAATTTTAGTAAAAAAATAGAATTAAGTCCTTAAAATAAAATATAATTATAACATTTTAAAATCAATGAAAAAATCTAATTGGAATAATGAAATAATAACATTTGTTATCTAGCATTTTAGGTAAATACTTGACGCCATACTTAATCCTTCACTATTTAGTAAAATAATTTAAATTATAAAACAACTTAAAATTATTTCAAATGAATTTTTTAAATTAATTTAAAAATTTTATAATTATGATATAAAAAATTATAATCTTATTTACAAGTAATAAAACGGCAAGAACTTAATTTAATTTTTACTAAAATTTTAAATTAAGCCAAAATTTCTGAATGATTCAATTCAACATTTCAAACTCGGAAAAAAATTGTTGTGCTTTCAGATTTCAGCTCTAGGCCCATCTAGGCATTTGCCTTCCCCATAGTAAAACCCAAATGCGTAAGTGGACGGTCTCTGCCGAAAACAAGAACCATTCACTTCGAGTCCGAATCTCTTGAAAACTTTTTCTTTAGAGTACTTAAAAAATTAGCTTAATCGAAAATTAACCTTTATTATAGTAATTATTTCATAACAGAAATTTGGTTGATGGATGAGATTTTAACTTATTGATAGTTACATTTTACTTCCCAAATTTATGGTTCTAGGTTAAATTTGTCACACTTATTTTCAATTATTGAAAAACAATAATGATTTAGATTTAAACAAATAGATACATAATTAATTTTTTATGTTTGGGAAAGAAATTAGACCTAGACAAAGGAACCGTGTTTTAAATCACAAAAAAGACCTCTAATCTCAAGTAACGCTCACTTTTTCCTTTGGCACAACAAATTAAAGCCATGATTCCTTAATTACTAATTAAAATTAGTACGAGCATAGCAACAAACTGTTAGTTTAATTATACTAAAGTCAGTTTTATGGATGAGGGTTTCAAATTTGAGTTTCATTTTTTATTTCAAAATTTAAGGTTTCAATTTCGAACTCTAATCGTAATTTAAGTACAAAAAGATAATAATAAAAGCATGTAAATTTGAAATAAATGAGAGAAGCATATATATTTTTTTCATCTTTTTTAATTTGATAGATGAGAGACTGATCGAAAGGCAATGCTAATGCAATTCGTATAAGTTGAAATTCTTGATTCTTGATTATGTTTTGTGAAGTGGATTTTGCTTAGTATGATGATAAACATCTTGATCTTCCCATGGCAAAGCATGCATATAGAAAAGAGAAGGCTGAAGAGGTTGAGAGTAAGTAAAAGAGTTGGAATGATATACCTATGCTTTAATTTTACTTTTTACAGTGTAGATGAGTGCTATTTTGATAGAGTATTTGATTTTGTCCTGCTGTCAATGGACATTAAATGTGCCGATCACCCTGTTGGCAATCAATGTGTGTTAACGAGTGCTAACTTGCGGTCAAGGCATTGATTTGGTGATCATATAACATATTGTTATTTGTATCTGTGATTGTTTTCCTGCATAACAAATCATCGAAAGCGTTCAAATATTTCTGGTATCAATTAGATTTTCACCAATATCCAATAAAAACATTGATCTTGATACTAATATATCATTCATTAGCAAATGAGCGGAGCGAAAATACATAACAAAACCGTCCTCTGTTTACTAATCACTAGTTCAAAAATGACTTAAACTGAGAAGCAGCAGCTATCATAATTGTTAGAAAAATGGGGTCCAGGCTCATGTAAGTGGTTTTAGACCAAGTAAAGGCCATGGGCTTTGATATTTCATTTTACTCGGAGCCCTAGCTACTTAATAAAAAAGAGGTGGGGTTGTTTTAAGTGTGTGTCGAAAACCAAGTAGAGAAAGAGGAAAAGCCAGGAAAAGCAAAGAGAAAAAAGAGAAGGAGAGTTGGTTGAACGAAAGTCGATCCGTGGTTCGATTGAGTTGAAACCTTGTCAGGAAGTTTATGATTCATAGTTCTACATTCTGAACAGTGAAAATCGGGTTTGAAGCTCTCTAGGAACAAATTCAAAGTGTATTTGTTAAGTCACTTATTTAGTGAGATTTCTTCAATTATTTTCTCTAGTTTTAGCTAGAAAAGAACTTTATATACCTATTATTTGATAGTGAAGATTTTTTTGGTGGTCCGTAGTTTTTTTTCTCTACACTGGAGGGTTTGTCACATAAATCTTTGTGTGCTTTATTTTTCCTGCGTCTTTGATTATTGATTGTTGTCTATTGCTTCTGTATTGTTGTGATTATTGCTTCAGGCGCAACAAGTGGTATCAGAGCGAGGGTTATTTTGAGACATCGATACAGAAGCAACCTAGGATAGAAGTAAATTCTATTTGAGATCATAGATGGTGATACAGGTTCTATGATAAAATTGATAGCATCAAATTATTCAATTTAGAAGCATATGATGGATGATCATCTATACTGCAAAGATTTGTATGAGTCAGTATTGGGTGATTCGGTTAAACCAGCAGATATGAAAGATGAAAGCTAAAAGAAGCTAAGTAGAAAGACGCTGGCTATAATCAAAAAATGAGTTGATATCAGCGTGTTCCATCATGTAGCGCAAGAGTCAGATGCTCACATTGTTTGAGAAAAATTGGCAGCATTGTATGAGAGAAAAATAGGTATAAATAAAGTTATGCTTGTTAAAAAGCTTATAACTTTACAGTACATGGATGGACGATCTGTTACAAAGCACTTGAGTGATTTTTAAGATATATTTAATCGGATGACTACTATGGAGCTTAAGATGGATGATGAAATGAAAGCATTATTTTTTTTGAGTTCATTGTCAGACAGCTGGAATACTCTAGTTGTGACTGTTCTTAATTCAGCTCCTAATTATAAGGTGACATTGAAGATGGTAAAAGATAATATGCATAATGAAGAAACAAGATGAAAAGATATAAACCCTGAGAATCAAGCTCTGGTCATAGAGAATAGGGGTAGAAACGTCGATAAAGGTCAGGACTCAAAAGGCCGTGGTAAGTCTAAACATAGATCCAAGTCTAAAGGTAAAGTGAAGTGTTTCTATTAAAGTAAGGCAGGTCATATAAAATGTAACTGTAAAATCTTAAAGCAAGATAAAAAGATAAGAAAAGTAAGAGTTCAGATGATGGTAATGTTGTAGCAGTGAATTCAGATAATGATTCAGTTACTTTGATTTGTACACATGGTGATTGTAATCATGTTAGTGATCCCGACATTGAGTGGATAGTTGACACAGGAACGGCATATCATTGTGTTCCTAAGAGAGAATTATTTACAACTTACAAAATAAGATACTTT